GTAACGCTTTTCTCTCTGGTTTATTTACTCATTTGCATTTCTAATGATAAATTCAAACGAGGCTGTTTGTATTTGCAACCAACAGGAGAAAAAATCCTAATTGGAAAACAAAATTAAAATTGTCAAGGACGGACAAAAATTTATGGGATATTCATCAAATAAAATTTATTACCCAGCAAATATAAAGAGAATAAACTACTGGTAAGACATGTGGGTTAATCTCTAAAACATGCTTTAAAAAAAGCAATTGGGTGCATAATATTCCATTTATGTGGAGTTCAAAAATGGGCAAAACTGGGACTTCCCAGTGGTCCAGTGGTTAAAACTCTGCTCTTCCACTGCAGGGGGTGCTGGTTCCATCCCTGGTCCGGGAACTAAGATCCCACATGCCACAAGGTGAGGCCAAAAAAAAAAAAACAGGCAAAACTAATCTCTGGCAGAACCGTGATTGCCTTGGCAGGAGGAAGGGATGGATTGGAAACAGGCAGAAAGAAACTTTCTGTAGTGATGAAAATGTTCTGTATGTTGATGGGGGTGTTTACATAATTGTATACACTTGACAGACTCGTAAACTTGAGATATGTGCATTTCACTGTATGCAAGTTTTATCTTAATAAAAAAACGCTCTTTGTGTACACCTTCTGTTTGCTGGACCTTCTTTACAAATAGTAATTACTCCTACAAACCTAATCCTATCAATGCTTTCTTACCCTAAAACTTAGTGTATTTGCCAGGGAAATAGCAAAGATGGTGGAGATTGCTTTTGTTCTAAGTAACTTGTGTAGTTTGTAAGCAAACACAAAGTCCTTTAGGAGGATTGTACTACTCAATTCAGAGGGGTGAAATCTCAACCTAAATATAATCACAAATAAGGGTGCAAAGCAAGTTCAGTATGTTTTCTTCCATTATGCCCTCTAGCTAATCTGTTTTGCCAGTAGACATATTATCAGTAGCCTCACTCTTCTCTAAACTCAAAGAATACAACTTATTTCATTGTAATTTAGCCATCATTTATTCTAGACTGGGAGATACAGTTCTTCACTACAAAGCTACAACATCCAAGGTACTGATGCTATTTTTCTGCTTTAAGATGCACTGATAGAGAGAACTTGTGTATCTGAAACTGGTTCTACAGGCCATGAAGTGTAAAATCTTGTACACACTGCAGTACCGTGCCTATGTGTGGTCTGATGCCCAAACACGACATTGAGGACTGTAGAGAAAACAGGTTCACTCAGAGTATGATACAATACAGGTGATAAAAACAGACAAATCGTTCAAAAGGGAAGATGACGATTTTTATTGTTATTACAAAAGCAAATTTTTTTAACTTCAGTCATTTGAATAATTGCAAGAGCAGACTAAGGGCTTAATCCTCACACAGGCACCAAGTCAGGCACAGTAGGTAGCTACAAATCATAAGAAAAAGGTTTCTTTACCTTGGATTCCTGTAATTCCTACCTACAGCACTCTGCCATGCTTTGGAATTAGTTAAAAACCCAGCAAACCTAATCAGTTCCCTTTAATTCTGCTTTTTAAAAAATGAGAGCTAGGTGTTAACCTGCTGTCTAGTGAAAACTAGTCACTAAATCCTGGCCTGAGAGAGAGCCACATTTGTTTTAGAGCAAAGAGAAGAAACTAGTTAACTAAGAGGTGTGTCCATTTCTGAGAGAGCCACGTGAGTCCTTAAGATATAGACCTTCTGGACATAGACCTCAGTTTCACCTAATGCATGTGGATGGTCACCTGAGGAATGCAGGAGCTCCAGCTCCAGCACAGACACTCTTCCCGGGGAAGCAGGAAAGGAGGTAGCAGGGACTTGGGCTGACATCTGAAGCACTAAGGTAATATGCCTGGCAGAGGGTAACCTCAGGAAGCACAAAATGTAATTCTGCCTTTGCTGTCCACAAACCTAGGTTTAAAGGGCACAGTGGCATGTGTGGCAAGGCAGAAAAGACAATTACCATTCTGAGAATTGATGAAGAAATCCTGCCTAATTTTCTGCCTAATCAGACATGGTGCCTATCTGCTTCTCCCTTATTTTGGAGAACACTCCTAACACTCCCACACCTCCAGGCCCTTAAAACATTTCTTAGTAAACAACTCAGCTAGCACATTACTGTTTCAAGGAAGCATAGGATTAGAGGTATGTGAAAAGTGTATTTACTGAAGGGAAGACTCAGTATGTTCTAGCATATTGAAAATTAAGAATATCCTAGAGCCAAAACCATCACAAGTTGAACCAAATTTATCCTACCTGAAATTTGGCAGTAAACTGGTTCAAATGGAATCCACTGAACTACAGGAAAATAACACTTCCTATTCCATTTACTATGAAATCTAATATAACCAACTGACTGCTAAAGTTAAACCTACTAAGTTTTTGAACTCAAAGTTGTGCATGTGTAATTACATTTATATAACAAGTTGCTGCCATGGCAAGATTTCTAGAGAAAGAAACAAGATCATAAATGTATTAGATGGCATCTGCTATAATCACTGAAAAATTAGCTGGAGGAAATATAAGCCATATTATTTGGAGACAGAAAATCGTCCCCTAAATTCTGTTGATTGCTATCTACCTTACGTGTATGTCTGTGAGAGGATTAATGGCACAGTTTATTCTGATAGGCCAACGCTGAAAATTTAGTCATCCTACAGTCAGAGCTATAGTGCTGTTACCAGAATTTTCACAAAGGGTTTTTAAAAGCTGAAAGTTGCGTGATGTTAAGAGCTGTCCCTCGACTACCTTAAATTCCTACTCAAAGCAGTGAAGCTGTCATCCACGAAGCAGCGGTCCATGAGGAAGTCCATGCCAATGAGGAAAGGTGCTAGAGTGCTGTCATGTGGAACAGCCATCAAAGACCACGGAGTAATTACAGTCACAACTAGTGTTTTCTGAAGATTGCCAGGGAGTTTAGTTGCTTTTTTTCAAAAATTCATCATGGAAGCAGTTTTCAACCATAAGTTCACCTTTTTCTTGGGTTGCAAAACTGCAGCTGGTTGAAAGTATGACCCAGAATATCTGCAGTGCTTCAGCTGAGAATGCCTGTAACTGTTCAGCTGCATCACGTTCAAAGTCCATCCCATATTGTAAAAGCAGTTCTTGTAGTTTATGTAACTAGCAGACAAGTATGAATTACCTCTTGTTACAGTGAACAACCTGTATCCTTTTATAATTTACAAAGTTTTTACATTCAGTTACCACATATTTTAATTCAAAACAAATATACATGGGCTTACTTACTCAAGAACACTTTACTATTTGTCACTTAGTTTCATGGCATTATATACTCAGTCCATCTCTTTTGGTTTGATTTTACATAATTTTCATTGGATAAGTTGTTTGCAGATTAAAAACAAGAAGCAAATGCTGTATTTCCCCTTCTCCCACAGTAAGAAATAGGATTTAAGATGGCCATTAGTTTGATGTTTATTTCAATATCTTTCTTAAATTCATTAATTTAAAAAACTATAATTAAATAATATATCATGAAAGCTGTATAAAGAACATTAATGCAAAGAAAATTGTGATTCTAACATAATCTATGCTAAAGAGGAAAAAAATGTTTAGGTCTGTAGTATCCTAAGTCTGCAGCCAATTACCCTATTTTTGCCTTGTCAACAATGTAAAACACGTTTGTACTTACAGAAGACAAAATGACAGCATAGGAATCTGTATTGCTTTTTAAAGGTCCAACATCTCCACACACTGCCAGTTCACTTCAGACATTATATTTGCCCATCCAAGTAACCAGGCAGTGTAATGAGTTTAAAATGCATCAAAAGTTTAAGTGAGCATTCTTCCCAAAGAACTTAGAAGCCCACAAAAATGTATGGTGTTGGTTAAATTAACAATGAAGTTTCTTCTAAATAATCTTATTTGCATAAATGTACAAGAATCCATTGAAATTTTTATTTCATAATTATCCTTTTTTTTTTTTTTTAGAGGTAGGCCCTTCACAGTTGATATCTATGTCATTTTACTTGAGTCTTGGCAACATGCACATAATATCCTAAAAGTGTAAATGTTTTAATAGCAAACATAACTGGTTTTTTAAAAATGTGTTCAATTTAAAAATGGAAATCTATCTCTGGGATTAATTTCAATGACTCTTGAGCTTTTAAAGATTCATTAAAATCCAAGCAATTGCTAGTATTTTGTTCTTAATAACTTGGAAGTAGAAAAAGAGTTACTATGCACTGATTAAAGCTCCCACATATCCCAGAAAAATAAAAGCCCAGAGATTTGCAGAATAATAAATTTTATTTAAATTTCATGCAGTTTTAATAGCCATGAGTATAGTTATAGGAAGCTGGAGGACAGTAACTATGCTCTGTCCATAAGATGTGGCCTCATTCATGAAATGAATGGGAATTTTACAGTTAAGAAAACAGGATTAGATTAATTTTTATGTTTTGTGACTGGAAATACAGTCTGACTAGGCTTTTCTTTTCTGAGGCAGATGATTACATGGAAGGGACATGTCATTAAATACACAATTACAAAGTATCTTATTTAGAGATAAACCAATCTAAAAGAGGCCAAGTCTTTGATAAAGGGGGCATCCAATAAACCCAGAAAGTGTCCCCTCCATTTCCCATTTATTCTCATTAAAAAATTTCAAAGTTGTGACACAGTTATAACAGAAAGTCAGCCTTTGATCTAAAATCCACAATGCTGCACTGCGGTTCATCCAAATCATAATTTAGCAAATTTCAAGAAAACAGTCAATCTCGAAAAATTGAGAAAAACTTAACACTGTGCTTGATTCTATCTATCACTGTTAACTTTAGTCTGTGCAGATTCTGATGGTTCTAAAAATATGTTCATTTAGTTGCTGGATGAGATTTAGCTTTAATCAGCAAGGATCATCCAGCCTTTAAAATTACTAATACAAACAATAAACTGAGTAATTTGTAGAACTGGCACTTGCAGTTGATACAGTTTTCACATTAGATGCATGCAGATCTTATAAATACTAAAGGAGGCATTTCTGCCACGTCTCAACATGCTGTCTTTATTGTAAATTCCATTAATTTAACAAGTTAATGGAATTTTTTGTAGGGGTACAATTTTATTATGCTTTATACTTATAAAAACTACAGTATGCTGTTCTTGTATTTTAAAACCACTTACTGTGTTTAAGAAATCATGTTAAAATATAAATTGGCAGAAACTGGTAGACCTAATAAAGCAGTGTCACAGTTGCATAAAGATATTGTATGTATGCATTAACCATCAAAAGAATGGGGTCAAACTAATTCTTTCTTTTAATACAAACTTGAACATTGTTTGTAAATGCCTCATTTAAAGTAGTGGATAAGGAAAGTTTAGAAAAGTCCAAGTAATAAAATGTACTCAATTACTTGGTAAAGTTAAAAAGCTAATGCAACAATGTTACATCCAGATAAAAAACATTATTCAAAAGCAATTCAAATACCGAAAAGGGTTTCAAATTGAATATTTTATTAACATGGTAGTTGTCTTTGTAACATGTGCACACACACTCGCACACTCAGAATGATCTGCCTGGGGGAAAAAAAGACTAAGTATGCCTAAGGGAAATGAAAAATTAAAAAATTCCTGGGAGGTTTTCATTATTGTAGGCAATTATGTCCACATCACTTACAAAGCTATTGCCAAATCTGTCCAAGGAAGCAGAGTTTGAGAGGGGAAGAAAAAAATCTTGGGAAAAATTCAACAGTGGCATAGCAGAGCTCTCAATATGAGAAAGCTGACATAATGTGGACTTTTGCTGTGAATTTTTGTCTTTGCAAAACATGGGGAGAGGTTTGTCAATGGGCAGAAAATAAGAGTAGGCGATGTGAAGTAGGCTTTTGCAGTCAGTTTTCCTCACAGTATTGTGCAGGGTCATCAAGAAAATGCTTAGTCTTTCTCTGGAACCAGTTTCAGAACTTTTCCAATTGCAATGGTCTTACCTAGAAATGAAATTTTTAAAAAACCTTTTCAGTAGTTAACAGCAAGACTATGTAAGATATTAAAATTTATTATTTTAAATCATATTTTAAATCATTATTTTACAATGTAAATTACTAATTAACTGGCTTTACCATCAAAGACATGATTTCTGATTAATGGAGGGGAACCGAAGATACGATTTTCTTTCAGAAATCTATGCTTGGAGAAGTAAAATGTGGATATCCGTACAATGGAATACTATTTGGCAATAAAAAGGAATGAATTACATACAGTACAAGCCACAACATGACTGAACCTCAAAAACATGCGGAGTAAAATAAACTAGACACTAAAGGCCACAAACTATATGATTCTATTTTATATGTCGTGTCCAAAAAAAGGCAGAGAGAAAAAGTAGATTTATGGTTGCCTAAGGCTAGGGGTGGGAATAGGTGGTGACTTTGTAAACAGGTATTAGGGTTCCTTTTTAGATGTTCTAGATGTTATAAAATTAGGATGTGGGGATGACTGTACAACTCTGTAAACATATAATTCACTGAACTGTATACTTAAAACAGGTCAATTTCATGGTATGTACATTATCTCATTAAAAGCTGTTAAACAGGGCTCTCAGTCCTATTATAAGAGATACAAAACCCGTGCAGATCTTGTGAAAAACCTAAAAGCCATCTACTCTTCAGAAAGAAAAAAAATTCTGGGGTTAAAAATTCTTGCTTCATTAATTTCTTCTGCCTGATTTTATTAGGTAACTAAAATTCTCATTTTGTTATATTAATGGGACAAACCCAGTAACCAGTTTCACCAAGAAGAGTTTTAAGATAATGACTTCAAATGGATACCACCTTTATACAGATTTCTCCAAAATAAGGCTCAGGGACCATATTCATCATATTCCCAGTGCTTGGCATGGGCTCCTGCCATGCAGTATATATACAGTAAAGTTTTTGCTGAATGAAACTGGAACTAATATGTGAACTGACTGTTCTATATTTCAAGTGAACCATGAAGTTTTATGTAAAGTTTTCCATAGTCTTAAAAGTTATCTAAGTTAATATAATAATCTATAGAGAAATATCATTTTGTTTCCATGATACCAAAGTTTCATGGCTGTGAGATAAGAAAATTACAGCTGTTCCAATCCACTCAGGTAGGCAGAAATGGACACACACACAAAAGAACATGAATATTAAACTTCTGAAATATTAGGTCTTAAGACTATCAATCTATGTACCCCTTTTATCTCCGCCCATTTCAATGTGGTTAATGTTTATCATATTTGATTTTAAAATGATTTCTTCTGAGCATAAAAAAAGATGTCTACCTCAGAGGCTTGGTTAGCAAAAATTTGCTCTACAGGATAGAGTCCTTCAAGATGAGTTTTTTTTTTGTTTGTTTGTTTTTTGCGGTACGCGGGCCCCTCAGTGTTGTGGCCTCTCCTGTTGTGGAGCACAGGCTCTGGACGCGTAGGCTCAGCGGCTGTGGCTCACGGGCCCAGCCACTCCGTGGCATGTGGGATCTTCCTGGACCGGGGCATGAACCTGCATCTCCTGCATCGGCAGGCGGACTCTCAACTACTGCGCCACCAGGGAAGCCCCAAGATGAGTTTTAATCACACATATTACAGAGGATTTCATCATAGAAATGTCTTATTTAGTAATAAATAAAATGACTCTCAAAACCCACTGCTTGCAAAATATTAAAATTAAGATTATTCATCTAGAGCATCACTACTAAGATGTGTTGTCAAGTCTGTCTGCTGTTCAACTCATAAAACATTTATTATATGAATATATTATAAAACAAGTATCCAAGTTTCCTATGAACTTGCAATGTGCGCTGCACTCAGATGAAGATTACCAAAGCTAAGCATCTTAGATATAACACTAGACATCAATTTAAAGGCTTACCCTCATCTCTTAAAGTAAAACGACCCATCTGAGGGAAGTCTTTAAAGGTCTCAAGGCAGATGGTTCCTGCTGTTCTCAAGCGGGCAATGCATACTTGATCTTGTTTCACAAAACGGGGTCGAGTCTTACTTTTTTCTCCTGATTTTTTGTCTACCAAGCAGATTAAGGCCTATCCAAGAAAAAAGGATGAGATTGGAATAATGTCAAATAAAAGAATCTTTAAACTAATACTAGAAGTGCAAATAAGAATACATCACTGTTGCTGATCAAAAATTATCAAGATGAAATGGTCTTAAAATAAAAACCTCAATTATCTTAAAACTCACTGTTATTTCGACTTCTTCAATACAGGTATGGATATGCAGCACTGCATTATAACCTGGGCAGATGATGGATTTGTGCTCTATAATCACTATCTGTCAAACAAAAAAATTCACATCTTTATCCCTAGGTAAAAAATAAATTGAATGTGTAACTCACAATCTCAATAGGGCACCAACTTATTTTTGTGTTAGATCAGGTTGCCTTACCTCCAAGCATGAACTTTGATATCCTTACCTCACTGATCTTCTTGGCAACAAACTTTAAAGACACAGGCAGACTTTCTTCTCTGGGAAGGCTTTCCTCTATACTCCCCACCAAGGAATTAATCTTTGCTGCTCACATGCTAGGTTTTTTCCTCCTAGATGTGAACTTATAGTTTTATCCATTTCCCAGTATCCAAGGTCCAAAGTTAACAACCTTGTATCTGACATCAAAATCTAACTTGATTAGTCATCGTATCTTAGAACTCAAAAATTCTGCGAGCTGTACCAATCACTTACTCTTTCATTGTCCTGGGGAGGTCAGGTTGCTAATAACATGGAGAAATTATGTGTGTTTTTCTGTCTGGAAAGTTATTTGCTCTGAATGAACAGACAAACCATGACTTCCACGGCAACTACACTCTACTTAAAGTGAAAAACACTTTGAGAAAAATGTAAGTATCAATATATATTATCAACAGGAAGTAAAAAGGGAACTTACAAAGAATACTACCTACCCAGTACTTGTACCATCTTAAAGACTTTATGTGTATGAGATATACATCACAGTTGTGATCTCTATATATGGTTTATTCTATTTTAGTTCCCCTTCTGCACACAATGGCATGTCACCAATAATCAGGACAAAGGAGATTTAAATTCTAGTTTCATTTAGACAGTGAACATTATCATAATAATTACAATAACTGGTTTACCTGGGCATCAAATGTGCGGCCAGAATGACAAAGATTATTAGGATCACAAAGTATGAACCCTGGAAGAATCTCCTCCTCTTCAATTCCTTTCAGTCTGATTTTGAGGTTTTCACCTGGGGCTACAGAATCAGTTTCTACATCATCAGAAAGGATTCCAAGAACTTCCACGTTGTGCTTAAAAAGAAACCAAGATTGGAGATTTTTTGACACATTCACTGCATTATAGAACGGAAAATTATCTGTTTGCTGAAGACTTGCAAGTCACATTTTTCTGTGGTTGCTGATTAGCCAAAATAATTCTTTGAGTGTGAAACTTTTTAACATTTGTATGACACGAATTTAATGAAAAAAATCATATCCTAGAAGTACAAACTGCCAATTAGAAGATTTATCTGTCACATCCTAATAATTTCCAAATAGAACAAGTATAAAGTAACATTTGTCTTTTTTTACTTTTTCAAAATTACAACATTAAATCTAAAATTTGATTTTAATTTTATGGATGTAATTTTTATTATTATTATTGTTAAATTCCAGGAGTTAAAAGACATAGCTTCCATTACCTATTAATCCCCCAAACATCCAAAGAATGTACTTCTCTAAGGTTATTTGAACAGCTAAGCTTTAAAGCACATTGACTGTTTAATAGGTAGTTTCCTTTTGGGGTGATGAAAATGTTCTGGAACTAGACAGTGGTGATGGCTGCACAATACTGTGAATGTACCTAAATGTCATTAAATGGTAAAACTTATATGTCTTTTACCACAATAATTTTTTTTTAAAGAGCATATAGATGGGGAAAAAAATGTTAAAAGCAATACTAGTATTCCCTCATTTTATTCCACTTCTGCCCTTAGAGGTAATTCATATTTTTAAAACACATGGCAGAAAACAAACAAAATAAAGTCTTCCTGACAAAAATGAACTTTCTCATGATGGTGGACATACAGTAGAGAATCCAGAATCATTACAGTCCATACCAGAATTCTACAAACTGTCACTTGCTAAACTCTAGTAGTTTCCCCGTACACACACATACACAAATAATGGCTTTCTTTCCCAAAAGGCAGCTTATACCTTACTGATACCTGTCTGTTGAAATTCATTCCAAGAACTGGTTATATAGCCATATTTGCTAGTAAATTCTTTACAGTAATGGGATAAAGGGGTAGAAACTAGCAGTTCCACCATACACAACTGAACAAGTATTGTTTAACACTTTTTGCCCAAATAATCCAGCATAATTAATTCCTCTCTCCAAATAAGGACTTTTATATCTAAACAAAATAGAGCAAGTCTGATCTCTAATCCATACTTATGAAAAATTAAGATTAAGACCAACAAATTCTTAGTTTATGAAAGGTATTAAGGATTTTACCTACTCTAAGTACCTCACATAAGTGGGGTCATACATGATTTATCTTTTTGTGTCTGGCATATTTCACTTAGTATAATGCCCTCCAGGTTCATCCATGTTGTAGCCTATGTTAGAATTTCCTTCCTTTTTAAGCTGAGGTAATATTCTGTTGTACGTATACGCCACATTTTGTTTGCTTATTCATCCATCAATGGACACTACAGGTTGCTTCCACGTTTTGGCTATTATGAATAATGCTGCTATGAACATCAGTTCTTTTTATATTTAGTTTTGGCTGCGTTGGATCTTTGTTGCTGTGCGCTGGCTTTCTCTAGTTGCGGCGAGTTGGGGCTACTCTTCATTGCAGTGCGCGAGCTTCTTGTTGCGGTGGCTTCTCTTGTTGTGGAACATGGGCTCTAGGTGCACAGGCTCTAGAGCGCAGGCTCGGTAGTTGTGGTGCACGGACTTAGCTGCTCCGCAGCATGTGGGATTTTCCTGGACCAGGGCTTGAACCCGTGGTCCCCTGCATTGGCAGGCGGATTATTAACCACTGCACCACCAGGGAGGTCCCTGAACATCATTTATTCAAGGTCTGCTTTCAGTTCTTTAGGGTATATACCCAGATGTGGAACTGCTGGATCATGATTATTCTATTTTTAATTTTTTTGAAGAAATGCCATTATGTTTTCCACAGCAGCTGCACAATTTTACATTCCTGCCAACAGTGCACAAACGTTCCATTTTCTCCACATCCTCACCGGCATTTGGGTTTCATTTGGGTTTTTGATAGTAGCCATCCAGATGGGTGTGAGGTCTCACTGTGACTTTGATTTGCATTTTCCTAATGATTAGTGACGTTAAGCATCTTTTCATGTGTTTTTTGGCCACTGTACATCTTCTTTGTAGAAATGTCTGTCTAAGTTCTTCACTCATTTTTTAGTCAGCTTGTTTTCTTTTTTTGCAGTATGCGGGCCTCTCACTGTTGTGGCCTCTCCCTTTGCGGAGCACAGGCTCCGGGCGCGCAGGCCCAGCAGCCATGGCTCACGGGCCTAGCCGCTCCAACTGCATGTGGGATCTTTCTGGACCGGGGCACGAACCCGTGTCCCGTGCATCGGCAGGCGGACTCTCAACCACTGCGCCACCAGGGAAGCCCAGCTTATTTTCTTTTTGTTGTTGAGTTGTAGGAGTTCTTGATATATTATGGATAGTAACCCCATATCAGATTTATGATATTCAATTTTTTACCCACATTCTGTAGGGTGCCTACCTATTAATTTTTAAATGTAAAATAGCCTGGCATCTACATCTTTTAAAACATTTCATTCTATTCCACTGAGACTCAGGGGACTAGTGAACTCAGTGAACTGAGTTTTTAAGGCTTGATTAACAACTGTAAGATATGCTACACTGACCTGCTTAGTCATTAGTATAAAGTGACAGCTTCTACAAGAACTAGTATATTAAGGCCCTTTACCTTTAGCTATAGCCCAGCTCTAGGTTCACTTGCCCATAGTAAGTACTTTTCTTTTCTTTCTATTGTGATAAAATACTCATAAAATTTACCTTTTTAAACCATTTTACATTGTACAATTCAGTGGCATCTACATTCACAATGGTGTACAACCATCACCAGTATCTGGCTCCAAAACACCTTCATCACCCCAAAAGAAAACTCTATACGCATTAAGCAATCACTCCCCATTCTTCTTCCCCAAGCCCCTTGCTTCCATCTCCACAAGCAAACTCAACTTCTTTGACTGCTGAACAGACAAAATAGAGCAAGGATTCAAACTGACCATTATTTCCATTCATTTATCATTGACCTTCAAGTTGCAGAGATAATTACCTTAGAAAAAAGATTCTATGATAGGATACTCTGATCTCCAAGGCATCAAGAAACCCCAAAGTAGGGCTTCCCTGGTGGCGCAGTGGTTATGAGTCCACCTGCCGATGCGGGGGACACGGGTTCGTGCCCTGGTCTGGGAAGATCTCCACATGCCACAGAGCGGCTGGGCCCGTGAGCCATGGCCGCTGAGCCTGTGCGTCCGGAGCCTGTGCTCCGCAACGGGAGAGGCCACAGCAGTGAGGCCC